GATAAGAAATAAATATTGATTAGAAAATTTAACCCAGAAAGACCTAGAGGGCACCTAAGCAATACAGCCCATTTGCACAAACATATTGATTATATAAACACTAGTGCCCCGGTGCACAGATTTGTGCACATTGAAAGGAAATTAATTAGGTGGCCGGCAGGGCTGGACTGGGTGAGATGGGTCGGACATGCCCTGGAGCAAACCTTCCTCAGTCCCTCCCTGGCCAGCCACACCTATGGTGGCACCGTGGCTCGAAGGTCATCTGTGGAATGAGCAGGGTCACTCTGGCAGGTAAGGTCCTTCGGCCTGGCCTGCAGGGATCAGGCTGGAACTGGCTCTCCGACATCCCCCGAGGGTTCCCGGATTGCGAGAGGGTGGTTCTCAGGTGAGGCACCCTGGAATCGGGCTTCCTCCTCTCTGGTTCTGGGTGTGTCACCCAAGAACTGCAGCTGCCAAGTCACCACAGATTGGCAGCTCCTGGACTGACTGCCTGCTTCCTGGTGGTCAGTGCACATCACAGCTACCAGTCAGACAGTCAAATTGTCGCTTAGCCAGATAGATAGATAGATAGATAGATAGATAGATAGATAGATATAGATATAGAGATATAGAGATATAGAGATATATATAGATAGATAGATAGATAGATAGATAGATAGATACTACCCATTAGCATTATTTATGTATAAATGGGTAAATGTGAGTAGGCTTCATTCAGGGAATTTAGTTATCATCTGTCTTCTAATGACTGAGAGCATCAAGTGGATTTAAAGTGATAAATAAAAACAAAAACAAAAACAAAAAACAAACAAACAAACAAAAACTCTGAATGAAATGTATCCCAAAATGTATTTCTTGGGCACAATCAAGACACATTCATCCTTGCTATACAATTGAAGGTAGAAGAGAATCTAAATTGTAAGTTAAAACAAAGAAAGGGGGGAATGTTACTCTACTTTGTAGTTTTAAATTGTTGTCTTGGTTTAATGAAAAACAGAATAAAAATTATGCAGATAATAGGACAACTAGTTAGTAGCTGAGTGATTCAAGAGACACAGGGAAAATGGAAATGCTTCATAGTTTGGCCTGCAGGTGGCACTAGTCACTCAGGTTATAGAAAACAGCAGGTACTAAGGGGTGAGCTGGAAAAGCCATTAGGAACAGATTAGTCCTTCATTTACTCAGCAAGGGGAAAGTGGAGTGGACTGTTTCAGAAGCACAAGGAATAAAGAGGATCTTGGCTTGCTAACACAGTCTATCAATTATATCTTGAATTTGTGCCCACCTATTAAATTTATCAGGGAAAACGCACACATTTCCCTAACAAATATGATGTTTATTGCCTTTGTAAATGTTCTCGGGTCCTTTTTGTCTGTGTTTATCCTGTGAAAGCATGAGATCAGTGCTAGAATGAAGCAAAAAGGAAACAAATTCCAACTTCGCTATTTAAAGATGTGCGACTTGATTCAAGTTATTTATCTTCTTTGAACTTTACTTCCCTCTGTGGTTATAATTGATGTAATTAGCTGGAATGCAGTGAGGATTTTCTAAGACACCATCCGTTGAAATGACAGCTCTGGACATAGTTGCTCCATTTTCTCCCAGAGGAACATGTCCAATCATTGGAATACCTCTTTTGTCAGAATAGGGTTCTAACTCACTGTGGCTCTTCTCTAACTAGGAAGTCCCGGGGTGGCGCTCTTAGAAGTTAAACTGTCACTGCACACACCAGTGGAGTATATGATGGGTGGAGAAGCTGTAGATGTCTCATACTAGTACCATAAGGCTACCTTGCCATTATTTTATCCCTCCTGATTGTCAGTAACAAAAGCCCAGAAACCACAGAATCTAAGATCCAGAATGGTATTTGATTTAGTCAACTGTCCATTTTTTAGATCAGGATGCCCTTCTGCCATAACAGTTGAAGTATAATAAAGAGAGTAAAAAGTGGGGTTTGCAAATTTAGGTCATTTTTATACTTGCTTCACAGGTCGGGTCAATGGGTAAGTAGGCATTTTTGTAGTCAGAAGCAGGATGGGAGAGCAGGAGGTGGGCAAACGATAATTGCCTGGCATGCCTCTAATTATATCCTGATATTGAGATGCTACGTTTATTTTCACAAAAATGGGGCAAAGAGAATGGCGAGCAGTCTACATCCTTTAAACTTTTGAAAGTAGGTTTGTGTTTGAGTACTGCTAAACATCTTTGTTTATATTTGAAAGAGACTGAATCGGCAACCCAGACTCAACTTTTTATGAAAAAGTCAACTACGGAGAAAGAAAGAATAAACAGAATGGATGGCCCAAATCTGTTATTTCACCAGCGACCATCAATCAAAACCTCTACTTCACTAATGAATAAAATATCCAATCCTAACTAACAGAGAGGTAGTTAAGACTTCACGATGGACACTAGTACTTGCCAGGGCCAGCTTCGGCCTTTATGGGGGTGGGGGGGTGGGGGGGGAAACACACCACACAACAACAAAGATCAAATCAATTCATGTTGTGCTGAATGCCTCCTCAGAGCTACCAGGAGTGGTAAACAAAACAAGAAACAGAACAAATTACGACATTCCACAGTGAAAAGATATGACTCTACCTAATTATTTATGAAAATAAGTGCTCTTATAAGTTAGACTGTCACTCTACACACCAGTAGAATATATGAGGGGTGAAGAAGCTGTAGATGTCTCATACTAGTACCATAAGGCTACCTTGCCATTATTTTATCCCTCCTGATTGTCAGTAACAAAAGCCCAGAAACCACAGAATCTAAGATCCAGAATGGTATTTGATTTAGTCAACTGTCCATTTTTTAGATCAGGATGCCCTTCTGCCATAACAGTTGAAGTATAATAAAGAGAGTAAAAAGTGGGGTTTGCAAATTTAGGTCATTTTTATACTTGCTTCACAGGTCGGGTCAATGGGTAAGTAGGCATTTTTGTAGTCAGAAGCAGGATGGGAGAGCAGGAGGTGGGCAAACGATAATTGCCTGGCATGCCTCTAATTATATCCTGATATTGAGATGCTACGTTTATTTTCACAAAAATGGGGCAAAGAGAATGGCGAGCAGTCTACATCCTTTAAACTTTTGAAAGTAGGTTTGTGTTTGAGTACTGCTAAACATCTTTGTTTATATTTGAAAGAGACTGAATCGGCAACCCAGACTCAACTTTTTATGAAAAAGTCAACTACGGAGAAAGAAAGAATAAACAGAATGGATGGCCCAAATCTGTTATTTCACCAGCGACCATCAATCAAAACCTCTACTTCACTAATGAATAAAATATCCAATCCTAACTAACAGAGAGGTAGTTAAGACTTCACGATGGACACTAGTACTTGCCAGGGCCAGCTTCGGCCTTTATGGGGGTGGGGGGGGGGGGGGGGAAACACACCACACAACAACAAAGATCAAATCAATTCATGTTGTGCTGAATGCCTCCTCAGAGCTACCAGGAGTGGTAAACAAAACAAGAAACAGAACAAATTACGACATTCCACAGTGAAAAGATATGACTCTACCTAATTATTTATGAAAATAAGTGCTCTTATAAGTTAGACTGTCACTCTACACACCAGTAGAATATATGAGGGGTGAAGAAGCTGTAGATGTCTCATACTAGTACCATAAGGCTACCTTGCCATTATTCTATCCCTCGTAGTTGTCAGTGACAAAAGCCCAGGAACCACAGAATCTAAGATCCAGAATGGTATTTGATTTAGTCAACTGTCCATTTTTAAGAATCAGGATGCCTCTGCCTATCTGATCACCCCTAACCACATTTGCCTGCCTGCTTGAGCACCCCCTCTCCCCCCTCTTCTCCCCCCCCCAATTAAGGTGATACCTTTCTTTACTTCTTACCTGTTATAAAACCCAAGTCTAGAGGCTGTACGTTTGTAGAAATCTGAGCTGCTTTTAGGATGATAGGGAATGCATAGAAGAATGTATTCCCAAAGTGACTATCAGTCTTTTCCCCAAAGAAACCCTGGGACTCCGGGCTATAAAGAAGGGTCAGATTTCTTTAGCTGTGTTATGCAAATCAGGTTTCAGATGGCAGCTGATTTGCATGGCAGATCCCTAGCAAGATGGGGGGTAGGGGAGAGGAAGAAAGTAGAAACTGGGGTAAAAAAGAAGGCTTATCTTCTAAGAGCCCAGGAATACACTTAATAATAAGGCATTAAATCTAGGGGGTCTAACCTCCCTCTCTGCAAAAGAGTGTTCGATTTGAATGAGCATTTTATGTCCTGACATGTAGAGAGGGGTCACACATTTGGACATAGGAGGCTGAAATTCTCAAGTGCTATTTGAAGAAGTTGACATGCTATACTATTAAAAATTATTGAATCTAGGTGCCAAATCCATAAAGGAAATAGAGATCTAATGACTTTATTAGAGCAGAGATTAAAACAATATTTCTGCAAATTTTCCTTCACTTGAAATTGTCATGGTTACCTACATTTACTGATAGTAATGTTTTATTCATTGAATTTTCTTAACAATTAAATATGATTCTGAGTTTCTGTATTAACAGGCTATTATTTTTTTTTTTTTTTAAAGAACAACTCTTGACTTAAAAAAAAATCCACCCTTAAGGAAGAAGCTTAATAAATTTAAAAGAGCCTAACCTTTGGAGTCACACAGACTGATGTGCCAGTCTCAACCACTTGCCCTTTGACATGCTGGGAGACCTCTATGAGGCTCTGCGTGCAATCCTAGGGAAATAAGCTCCCCGTTCCTCACACCACTGCTGTGCAGTTGGGCTCAGATAACACACGTCCAGTATTTTTTAAGAACTCTCCTCCCTGTCTGGCCCCCGGGAGCCGCTGTGCTCACCTCTAGAACAGTCCTTAGATACAAAATTGAGAGGAGGTGACAAAAAAGGATGGAAAAAAGAGGCCGCTTGTTTTATCTGAGTAAACATTATTAGTCATTTGCACACATGAAACCAACAGCTCAAGCATCAGGGTGGATTTTGAAAGGAATTAACTGCTTACCTTCAGCTGCTGTTCTGCCAGTTGATCCTGATACCTTCGGACTGACTCCTGAAGTCGCTTCTCTTTCTCATTTTTTGATGGTGATACTGTGCTCATGGTGCCCAGGGGGATGGAAGGTAAGCGTTCCACCTGATGACAACTTCACAATCAACAAGTACAAGAGATAATATAGTAACATCAGGAGGAAACGTAAAACTATTTACTGCCTGTAAAGAATTCTTTACTTCTACAAAAGCATAATAAAAGTCTTTATGTCTTATTTCCAAAATTTGAACATAAGGGAAGAGCATTGTATTGATGACTTTAGGAAATACAAAACCTTAAATCATGAAAAAGAGCTTAATGAGGGGGAGGGGGGAACAGTTAAATGGAAAAAGTGAAAGGTCATATATATTTACCAGAATGAGAAAGCTCTTTATTTAATTTACTAACCAGTGGCCTGGTGTATGAAATTTGTGCACAGGGGGAGGGGGGATGGTGTCCCTCAGCCCGGCCTGCACCCTCTCCAATCTGGGATCCCTCAAGAGATGTCTGACTGCCAGCTTAGGCCCAATCCCAAAAGGAAATCCTTCTTGCAATTCAGCACCGCTGGCTTCTAAGCATTCACCTGCCTGTTGCCTGATCACCCCTAACCACTCTGCATACCAGCCTGCTTGCCCCCAAATACTCCCCCCACCAGCCTGCTTATCCCCAATTGCCCCCTACCCTGTCGGCATGCTCACTCCCAACTGCAATCCCCTCTGCCCTGCTCACCTCCAACTACCCTCCCCTGCTGGCCTGCTCACCCCCAACTGCGCCCACCTGCCTGTCTGATTGCCCCTAACCACCTCTGCCTCGGCCTCACTCCCATGGTTTTGTCCAGAAATGAGATCCAGAAGACATCTAGTCTGATTAGCATATTACCCTTTTATTAGTACAGATTCTTCATTTATCTCCCATTATCAGGAAATGAGGCCTTTTGCAAAAATATTTTTAGATAATTAAATCTTATTTTTCTTATTAAATACTAGAGGTCCAAGGCACAAAATCTGTGCATAGTTGTGGGTGGAGGTTCCTCAGCCTGGCCTTCACCCTCTCCAATCTGGGACCCACTCGAGAAATGTCCAACTATATCTCACAATCTAAGACTGCTGGCTCCTAATGGCTTGCCTGCCTACCTGCCTGATTGCCTCTAAACCCTCTGCCTGCTTGATTGTCTCTAATCATGTCTGCCTGCCTGCCTGATTGCCCCTAACTGCTCCCCTACTGGCCTGATCGCCCCTAACTGCCTCTTCCTCATCCCACACTCAGGACCCAGGGATTCCCTCCTCCAGCCAGTCACAGGCACTTGGGACTCAGGCTTCCCTCCCTTTGGCCAGCCACAGGCACCCAGGACCTGGGTCGGCTTCACCTGGGCCACAGGCATAGGTGGCTTGGACAGTGGGGTGAGCAGCTTGTCCCTCTTCTGGGCTGCAGCCGCAGGTGCTGGCACTCAGGACCATGGAGCAGGTGGCTTGTCCCTTTCCTGGGCTGCAGACACAGTCACTGGAGCCCAGGGCCATGGGCACCATGGGGTGTGCAGATTGTCCCTCTCCTGGGCCATACCCTGGCTGGTCCCCATTCCTCTCTTGTGAGCTCATTTGTGTATGGCTGGTCCCCATTCCTCTCTCCCTAGTGTTGAGTGTCTGAGCCATTATGGCATGATGGTGTGAGGGCATGATGACCATTTGCATGTTAGCTCTTTATCATACAGGATTTCTCGCCCCCCCCCCAAAAAAAAAACACACACAACACATTAGGGATAGAAATCCATCTGTCTGTCTATAATACACCAAACACTTCTGCTTCTGAAACACGGAGCCTTTGCATGCTGATTCAGGATCACTGTGAAAGGACCTTGATGTGATGCGCTCCCTGACAGCCTCACCAAAAAAATCCCCAATAACACCACCTGCTGCAATGTCCTTCTCTCCTGCAGCTGTCAGTGTGTCTACTTCTGGTGATCGTTTGCTCCCCAACCTCTAATCACCAGTGTGTTAACACATGTATATCATCAGGCAGAATTGTGTCTAAAAGACAATAAACAGGCTGCAAATGAGGGTTTCCCCTGCTATGGCTACAAAAAGTGCTAATGACTTTTAGGACATATGATTTGAAAGGTTTGAGGCCTTTCACCTACTTTTGGTTTTGTGGCTATGTGCTAGAAGCTGAGCTACTTACACTGTTGAAAAACTGAGATTACATAGTTCACCTTGGAATTGAGGCTTGGCAAGAATAAGAGGTTCAACTCCCACTGGGCATGGCTTTGTTTCATGGCTGAGGATGAGCAGGTAAGGTCAAAATGGTAAGGTCAATTATTAGAGCCTGCTTTACATTAAGTTTTTCTATTATGTAGGTAATAGAAAAAGGAGAGGGAAGGAACACAAAATACATCGGTGTTAGGCTAGGAGAGGGTGGAGGAGGAGGAGGTTGGGAATAGAGAGAGTCCTTCTCTCATCTGAAACAGTGCATAAGCACTTTTGATCTGAAGCAGATCAAACACACAACTTCTTTGCTTTGGGGAGTTACAGCTATATATATCTTATACCTACCAACAGAGAACCACAACAAATTCAAGTACTACTGTGAAAAAACTTCACACACACTTAATTCCACCCACATATGGTATTTGTTGTTATTGTTCTTTTCAAAGAAAGATGGTGGATAAACAATAGGAGATACCTACTGTATATGTAGCCACCCATGGTTTTAAGATGAAGACACCTGTGGGGTGGTATCTGTAATGTTTCTATTTCATGGGAGAAAAAGAACCTTAAATTTTTCTTCAAAAAAAGAGAAACCCCAAATATTTTATGAAAGTGATATCCATTTAGATATCTTCAAAGACTTTTGAAAAAAAAGATAAATTTTAATATACAATTCCATATATTTAACGACTCGAAGATTTAAAAAAGAAATTATAAGTATAAAAGAACTTTCTGCATTTTAGGCTTGGTCCTTCAGTTTTCTGTCAACATGGCTAAATTTATCTTGCCTGTCATCACAGGAGGCACTGTTTTGATGTGCAAAAGAGACATAATTAGAGCAGCTTTGAAACAATGCTCTCTGATGGCATCACCACTTTTCAGGGAGAAAAGGGCAAGAGTGTAAGTAATGATAATTTGGCAATAAGGAAACCGTAGAGGGAGGTCTCCAAGTTCTATGGATCTGACAATGACTAAGACTGATCTAAGAATTCAAGGTACTTGGTTAGTTCTGTGAGGGGCCAAAATTCGCTAGGGACATGGCAGATTGACTTGACAAGGGGTTCAGCTAGAACCAGAAAAGATGCAAAAGATACTATTATTACACCCAACTCTAGGTGATGGGAAGCTGAGTTAAAGAGAGATTGGACCCCAGCTGGAGTAACTCAGTGAACTGAGCTTGGTCCCATGCACCAAGAGGTCACCAGTTTAATTTTCGTCAGGGTATATGCCTGGGTTGCAGACTCAATTCCCATGAGAGAGTGTGTAGAAGGCAGCTGATCCATGTGTTCGTCTCCCTTTCCCTCTCTCTTCCTCTCTTTCTAAAATCAATTAAATCATATTAAAAAATAAGAAAGAGAGAGAGAGAGAGAGAGAGAGAGAGAGAGATTGGACACTTGTTCAAGGTTTTTCACAGTTAATAGAAGTAGGAATCAAACAACCCAGGCAGTCTTGCTCCAGGGTCTGAACTCTAAAACACTATCCTATGCTGTATGAACAGTTGTTAGTTCACAATAAGTGATCAATGTTATTAATTATTCTTTTGTTGTTGTTTTGAGGGTTGGGGGCTTAGGTCAACATTATTTACATTTTCAAGCTCAGGTCTTCCCACACAGAAATTTAAAAAACAACAGCAGCAACAAACTTCTATTAACACTTCGATAAAAATAATGACACTGGCTATGAAAACACTACATACTAGACTATTAATACTGAAACTAAGCCAACACTATTCCTATTTGAGAGATATTTAAGCTCCAGGTTAGGGCTGAAATCAGGTTAGGAATCACAAGACCTTGGCTAGTGGCTTTATGAACAGGTTTCTGAGGCCCCATTTGGGCTTCACTTTTCACTTTTCTACAATGAAAATGTGAGACTAGATCAGTGTTTCCGAAGTGCACTCCCTGGAGCTCTAGGCTCTTTGCCGACAATAGGGACAGAAGTGGGAAGTGGATGGGTACCTTTGCCCCCCCCCCCCCCCCGATTCCCAACCTTCACTTCAAAATGGGGCAGTTCTGCATTTATCTAGTTCATATATTTAGGATCTGAAGCAAGTTTTATTTGGGGGAAAAACAAAACAAAACAGGTTCTTCTGCAAACCAAGAAAGGGAAGCTAGAAAACCTCGCATCATGTGAAATCTGAGGCCTGTCTGTCATCTGACTTACTTTCTTAGTTTCTAAATATGATTAACCTGGGGACTCCAGGTGGGGTTGTAGTGATAGTTTCTGAATGTTTTCTTCTTTAAAAAAATTTATTTGTCCTTTATTTATTTTTTTCCTAGACTGGATAAAAGTAATCCAACAAGAGCTATTACCCTAATGTCTGTATTAGTAATATTGATGATTTACGTATCCAGGCCAAATGACTTACAGCAAACTCCATGGAAAAACAATGCTTGACTTAGAAGTGACTTTATTAAAGGGATATACTAACTCTTCTGCCTCCCCCAAGAAAAGAATATAAGTTTAAAAGGACTTGTAATAACATTGGCAGTCATCAATATTTAATTGGTCTTTTTCCTACTTCTGTCTGAATTTCTTCCTCCAAGAGCACAAAGCAATGAAATCAATATATAACTTAAATAGAAAATGCACATGGTCTAACTGTTTAGGGCACCTGGAGACACCATCTGGATAAAACTCCTGTATTATAAGGTGCTATGCTGTGTGAAAATGAACTGAAAGGCAGGTATCTTAAACAGGGGTAGTAGTCTCCCGCCAGTGGAAGCCTAGAGCTGCATGCCCCAATGTTTACAAAGCATTACAGCCAGGCTTCTTTTATCTTGATGGAAAAGCACACTAATCAACTATCTTTCCACAATTGGCAAGGTGCTAGAGAGAGTTCCAGGGAATGACAGCGACTAAGCTGAAATGTACATATAGCTAACATTTTCCAGTTTCATACATATGTATTTCAGGAATTAAAAATGGATAAAGAATTTTAGAAAACCATCAAACACTACCTGTTTTCTGAGAGGTTAGGGTTATTGGCACAAATCCAGATGTCCAAAAGTTCTTTTTCCTCATAATCAGTAGAGGGAGGCAAGACTCTCCATTTAAGGCAAAGATCTGATCATCAAAACAAAGTCACACATAAGAAAGACCAGTCAGAAATGTATCCCTTCATAGTAAGATGTCAGGTTGCATATACCAAAAGTATAAGGTATCTTTTCCAGCCAAAGCCAAGTGAATCCTTGGTCATATACCATTACACTTGATGGCACAACTTGTCTATGATTCTATTCGCTACCCTTGGACACTCCTAATAAATTATTATTATTATTATTAATTATTATTACTATGACTATTATTATTATTATTGCTTAAGTTCTTTCCAACTGGTTTTTTGCTTTCAGCCAAAACATTTTAAGTAATTGGTCCCTCTCTCTTTTTAAACCACATGAAGACTTCCAGTAAGTTCCCTTTCCCATTTTCTTTGCCTTCCTTGTCCATTTCTCTCTCGCAGTCCCTCCTTGCTTTTCGGACTAAGACACTCCATACTCTCCAGGCTATTCTTAACTTTAATCTTGAAATCCTCCCAAACACACTGCTAATGACTCTTCGGTAAACACTTCTCTCTGTTCATCTTACATGGAGGCAGTTTGCACAGTGGTTAAGAACCTGAACAGCTCTACCAGTTACTACCTCTATGGTCTTGAACAAATTATGTCTTTGTGTTTCAGCAGCATCATCTGTAAGAAGAAAATCCATTGGTACTTACCTAAAAGGTTACTGAGGGTTAACATACATAAGTAATAATGATAAAAGCCAGCATTGCTAGACATCATCTGTGCTGGCTAACTTTATGTCACTTTGACTGGGCCATGGGGTGCTTGGTCAAACAATTCTGAATGTGTCTATGAGGGTGTTTCGAATGAGATTAACATTTGAATTGATAGTCTGAGTAAAGCAAATGGTCCTCCCTAATGTGGGGTGGGCCTCATCTAATCAGTTGAAGGCCTAAATAAAACAAAAAATGGCTGACTCCCTGGAGAGTAAAAAAGGAACTTCTCTTTCCTGATTGTCTTGAGCTGGGCCACTAGGTTTTTCCAGCCTTCAGACTCAAATTAAAACATCAGTTCTTTCTGGGTATTGACCCTGTCAGTTTTTCACTGGAACTACATCATTGGGTCTGTTGGTTCTCAGGCCTTCAGACTTGAATTAGAATTAAACTAATGGCTCTCCTGGGTATCCAGCTTACTGAGTAAAGATCTTAGACTTGTTAGCCTCCATAATCATGTAAGCCAATTCTCAATAATATATACCTAACTACCTATCTATCTATCTATCTATCTATCTATCTATCTTATATATTTTTTTCAGCCAGCCAGCCATTCTATTGGTTCTGTTTCTCTGGAGAACCCTATAACACTATCCTATGCACTTAGTAAACTTTACATATGGTAATACATTGTATTTGCACAGAACTGTCTGAGGTAGTTATAAATACTAACTTCCTGTTATGAAAAAGGAAACTGAGGCTTAGAGAAATTAAGGAATTTGCCTCATTTCATAGCTTACTAATACCAGAGATTGGATTCTGACAGTATTTTGCACACATTAGACCGGTCAGGTCCTTAACCCAAGGCTCAAGGTAGGGAGGTGTTCGCTTGGCTCTTTGTAACTAACTACAAAGTCTTACAGACTATAATGTGCTTTATTTGTTTGCTTGGCTCCTCAGTGGACAGTAGACTCCTTGCAGATAATAGAGTGTCTTTAATTCTCTAACTCTAGAAATAGTGGCTAGAAGTTATACCAGAGGAACACTATTAGTGTTCAATGCTTCGATGATGTTATTCTATCAAATAAGGTCTTGTATGCATGCTTATAAGCATAACCCGTGGACATAGACAGTAGGGGGATTAGGGCATGTGCTGGGGGGCTGGCAGTGGTGGTGGTGGGAATGGCCAGGGAGAGGTCAATGGGGAAAAAAGAAGACATATGTAATACTTTTAAGCATTAAAGAATTTTAAAAAGAAAGATGGCTGTTTATATCATTCCACCTTACATTTTTAGCTGTATATCTGATATTAACACATATCTCCTGCTACTTCTATGCCTATCAAAATTCTATTTAAAGATCATGGCAAAGGCTACCTCTGTCATGAAGCCTTGCCTCAACTTCCTCTTTTTTTGAACCCTCATAGAACTCTGTGCCTCTTTTATATCATTTATCTGAATTTCATCTCTATTATAATTGTTTTCATGCTTATCTTAACCTTTCTTCTAGACTCTAACCTCACTGTATATAAAAATCAGGTTTTACCCACCATCTCTGTCTCCTTCACGCACCATTAAAGGCACAATGACATGCATATTTAAAAACTCACTAAATGATTGCTAATTTGGATGGAATTCAACACTCACCACACTGAATGATGAATGGGATGGCCATGGCTTGTCTTCTTTGATACTGAATAGACTCTAAAGACCTCTCTGTGTCCTTGTTATTCTGGTATCCAGATTCATTCCAAAACAATGTTAGGTTTCTATTACCTAAAAACAAAACAAAACAGGATAAGAGTAATAAAAGAAAATTAATTGCCATCTTGGTTGGGTTGATTTGCATATTCACTCCTGATTGGCTGGTGGGCATGGCTTGTGGGCCATAGCAGAGGTATAGTCAATTTGCATGTTTCTCTTTTATTAGATAGGATTTACAATGAAATACACTGACATTTAAAACTTTTTTTCTTAAGTACTCCAGAAGGGATGGCACTGAATAAACTTAAAGGCAACCCTTAAGACTGTTTATACAGATATTTATGATCTTGTCTCACAGCTACAGTTTATCTTTATTTTGTCTCTGCCTCCCTTTTCTACCAGTCTTTATTGTTTATGCCCTACCCTCAGGCCAGATTCTCTACTCCTTCCTTGCTTAGACACAGCACTTGTCATGAAGGACCATTCAGCAATTGCACTGATAGAAATCTTCCCTACAAACATATACAACGATGATCATGTACATATTAGAGCACTATTTGAACAGAAAAAAAGGGGGAAAGGAGAACATCATGAAAGACTAGAATACGAAATGAGTAAATTCCATTTCCAAACAAGGAAACTTCTGAAACAGGGAGTTAAAGCTAAATGTATTACTTCATCAAGACATCAGAGTTTTAATTTTATTTAAAAAATGTAAAACAACCTACCTAGTATAGTCAATTATTGCAATTTATAAAAAGCATCTTATATAATAAAAGACTACTAATCAAATTTCCCCATGGGTGGGAGTTAGAACTATCGAGTCAGACATGCGCTGACCACCAGGGGGTGGTGTGGAACAAAGGAAGGCCCAGCAAGGAGCTGGGAGCTGTTAGGGACCCTACCCATGCACAAATTTCATGCACTGGGCCTCTAGTATACATATAAAACTTTGGTGGATATTTCTTTTCCTGAAAGGAAACAAGATGCTTTAATAAGAAAAACCACTGGAGAGAGAGAGAGAGACTGAGAGGAAGACAGGGGAAGATACTTTTACTTTCCATTTTTTATTTTATAAACACTCAATACTTTTATATGTGCATTTATTACTTTAAAAATACACTTTTGTGCATTTATTACTTTAAAAATACACTTTTAAAAAATAATTTTTGTGTACCACTCTGTCCAATATGTTGACCACTAACCACATGTGACTACTGAGCACTTGACATGTGACAGATATAGAATACTTTATCAATTTCAAAGCTCAAAATGAGGCTCTAAAATATAAACCTTTTAATGAAAATGCATGAAATAGAAGGCCATATATCACATAACTATATAATTATGCAAAATACAAGTAAGCATCCTTACACCTTAGTAATCCTGTTAAAATTTAGATTCAGAATGTTTTGTGCCTGGAAGACCATATAGCCTTCAAAAGAGACTTTACAGGCTGAAAGCTGCCCTTACAAATTCCCAGGTTCCCATTGTCTCTGCACATCTCTCTACTCAGATCTCCCTTAAGATTCTGCTTCTTGGGTTTTTCTCAATTTAGACTTTCATATTTTCGCTCTTTCTTTCCTCAGCATTTGGTCTTGGCCCAGCCCTGACTCCTTTCTGTGCTACACACCAATCCTGATATAGTTTTTGGTGGCTGGCTTGTGAAGACTTTTCCTCTGATTTCCACAAGAACTACTCAGTTAAGGTAAGAGGGGTTGTAGATTAAAGTAAGGTGGCTTCCAGTACTGTCTATGGCAAACATTATGGGTATAATTATGGAAAGCCACTAAAATTTCTTAATTATAAAGTAAGTATTTCCAATAACCTGCCCAACAGTTTTATCAAAAAGAATAAGTGTAAAGGTACATTTAAAACTACAGAACCCTGCAGGAATTTAAATTGCTTTTGAGTTGCATTTATCTTCTCTCTACTTCCTGCAAAGGACTGTGCCTTTCAAAGGAGGAGCTGTGCTTTAAAACGTTGCATGCACTTAGCACATAGCTCAGCATCCGGTACCTACGAAACCCTCAAAATCTACTGCTGCTAGTCTTGACAAAATACCTCATTAATGTGTTCTGTGGGATAAAACAAAGGTGAAATATTATCTTTCCCTGAAAACGTTAACACAGTGAACAACACAGTTACATTTGAAAACGCGTATCAACTGTGAACCCTGACACAAACATTTAAGAGTGATAAAACTACTATGATGTTAGAAATATAAACACACACTCCTCTAGGGTAGTAATACATGCTCTGTGATCACACCACCCTCATAGTGCTAACACACACATCTCATTTCAGTTTGCTTTGTACCTATCTCCCCCTTTGGATAGTGAAATCGTTGAAGACAGTAGTGATGTACAGGATCTTATTTTCAGTAAGTGACTCACAGAGCTTAATGTTTACTTACAGGATTAAATAATACTGAAGGATTGTAGGCTAGCCAGACCAGTACGGCTCAATGGTTGAACATAGACCTATGAACCAGGAGGTCACGGTTTGATTCCCGGTCAGGGCACATGCCTGGGTTGTGGGCTCAATCCCCTGTGCGGGGTGTGCGGATCAATGATTCTCTCTAATCATTGATGTTTCTATCTCTCTCTCCTGTCCCTTCCTCTCTAAAATAAATAAAAATATATTTAAAAAAAAGAATTGCAGGCTATTAAAGGCACAAATAGCACATTCACTATACCAAACACCTACTTACCAGAATTGAAGGAAGCTATGCTATTCAAGGCAACAGCCAGGGCAAAGAAAGTTTTAAACTCAAAATCAGAAATAGATTTTGCTCTTCAGATGGAAACTAGTCTGACATGTATAACTTATGATGTTATTAAAACCAATTTCCATGGGGTGGACCCTGAAGACGAGGTTTCAGCAAACAGATAAGCCAGCTGTCCAGAGGGAAGGCAGTGGGAGAAAACGTATCATGTCAGTTTCTACTTTCATGTGTTACTCTAAATACAGGGGGAAAAATCCTCCTTGAGGAAATATGTTCTTCCCATACAAGGGAACTTATTAGACTATATATATATTTTTTTTCCCCCAAAATCTTGCAGATCAGGAGAGAGTTGGGTGATATAATCAAAAGGCTGAAAGAGAAAAACACGCCAACCCAGCATACTTAATCTGAAAAAGCTCTCCTTCAGAAAATGGAGAAATAATTTCCCAAACAAACAAGAGCTCAGAGAGTTCACTAGACCTGCCTTACAAGAAATGTTAAAGAGAGTTCTCCAAACTGAAATGAAAGGACAATAATTAGTAACCCAAAGACCTAAATATATGAATCTCACGGATAAAAGTAAATATACAGTCAAAATAAAAATATGCTAATACTATAATGGTGGTGTATAAACTGCTTAACTCTTATGTAAAAGTTAAAAGATACAAGTATTAAAATATGTATAGCTGATACAAATTTCCAGGGCAGGAGGAATAGGGAAACTGATACAGGAAAGTTAAAACAAGGCTAAATATAGTGTAATTTGCAACCAGCTTGTAACTAACAAACCATTATCTTCAGCAGCCAAGGACACAGAACAAATGGTTAAAAAAAAAAACCTCACTAATGAGAGGAGGTCAGGGGGAAGGGGAAAAGGGCAGTTTTACTCAAAGAAAAGCCAGCAGTCTCAAGGCTTGGCAAAATATAGTTGTCAGGTGCTTCTCATGATTTCTGGAAATGCCACAATGAAGTACAAAAAAAAGGGGGGGGGGAGGGGGGGACCTTGAGAATTAATTTGTATAAAAATATTTGGCAGAGGAATTTTGAGACCTATAGATAGGAGGGTATATAATGCCTTGGACCCACTCCCAATGTGGTCATCGATTAGCTAGAGCCTGTCTGTGTTCATAAGGCAGGTTTGCTTGCTTTGCTTTTTTCAGTGAAGATGCATACTTCAATAAATTGGCTTTTCACAATGCAGTCAGGGTCTTGTATAAATTCATTTATATGAGAAGACAAGGACCGAGGTTGGGGACAGCCCTCTCCCACTGACTCAGGGGCTGTCCTGTACAGTAACACCTTTCATCTGGATGTCCATTAAGAGCAAAAAAGTGAAATTTCAAACCGTGATTTTAAAAAAATATATCTTAAATATTTACAGCCACTATTAAGTTATGTAGGTAACCCAAAATTTATTAATTCCAAAACTATATTATTTCAATATCCTCAAGGTATTCTGATTTAAAAATCTGTAAAGAAAAATGCTACAAACACACAAGTAATATTTAAGATTACAAAAGAATACGTATCTCAAGACTTTTGTTTGGATAAACAAGCTTGTTGAATTAATGGAATAATCAGGGATTAAGGTACACAGAATTAAAGTTCTAATTCCTAGAATAAGTACGTGAGAAAACTGATAATTGAACTTACTGCTAGTTATATATGTGGAGTATTTAATTCAGAAAACTTCTGTTTAATTTTATCTGATTAATTTTTTGGAGCCTCTTAAAACCAGGAAAAAAAAATATAAAATGCTGCAGTAACTTACTGAAAATTTGTCAAAATCCAGTAACTAAAAGAGTTTACACAGATTTTGTCTCTGAAAAACAGGAGAAATGTAACACCTTGAGATGTCAGTTTCATATCTGTTCATAGAATGTACAATGACATCCAAGAAAGCAATTACCCAAAAGGAGAAGTAATAAAATTCAGTAATAAACTACTAAAGCAAAGCTCTGATGGTTTAAATAAAAATAAGAAGTCTCAAACAGTTTATGAAATCAAAGCACCAGGAAAATGATAAACTAGACAAGATATTTAAATCAGGTTCCTGCCTTCAGGTAGTTCTGCCTCTAAACAAATTATTATCTTCTACTTTTAAAGATCTCCTGAGATAGAAATTGCATACCACTCTCAGGGGACTATAAATCACGTCTCCTCCTGTGTTGAATATCGTCCTGTTATTACCCTCTGGTTTTTTAAACCAAGCTCTGGTAAGTTTTATTAAAGAAAAATGTTGCATGATTTACTTTTCACCAGTCTGTTTTGGCATGCTTCTAATGATACCAATTGCTGTCATGTCGGTTCAGAGTCTGTGGTGCATGTGAGATGAGAGAGGCCC